ACTTGTTGTGGAGCTCAGGTTGAGGGAAAGCTCCTCAGAAGCCTGGACACAGACACCTCAAGCTGTCTGCCTCTCTTTTGGGGCCACCCTACGTTGAGGCTGGTCCATAGCTTGGTAGTGGACATGGGCCAACCTCCCACTGCAGGCGAGCTTCACTCAGAGTTTCATCCAGTGTCTGGAGGGGCTGCACTGTTTCTAGAGCTGGGTTTCAGCTCTGCCTGAGGGCAGCTGTGTCTCCTCCTTGGTGTCCAGGAGCCCCTTTGGTAATCCTGCATGTGCCATAGGTTACGTACTCTCTAAAAATCAATCTGTCATCGGTAAACAGGCAAACAGATTGTCTGCTGAAACACAGCCGTGAAATAATCCTAGGCCACCGATGCTGCACTGGCTTTCCCCAACAGCTGGCCTTTAATGATTGTTTCCAAAAGGTCAGGAAAGCCATCAGTAGCTCCAATTAGCTGTGATTGGCCTGGGGGACAGAGTGACACAGATGCTTTTTGAATAGGACAAAGGACTGAGCAAGGAGAAACCATTTCTCCCAGTCACTTCTCCTCTATTAATGCCACCTCACTGCCATTCGGCTTTGCCCTTCTCCTGAAGTCTGTCAGGCACCAAGAGCTGAGTTTCAGCTGGGTCACCATGCTGTGGAGAATCAGGCCTCTTCTCCTCCCCCTCAATAGTGGCCCACCATCACAGCACCTTCCTTTGGGGGCAGGGAACTTCGCAGAGAAAGGACTCACATCTGCCTATCACCCATCCCATCTCCTTCCATACCCACCCTTCTTCGGACCAGGCTCCATTTTTCTATAGCCTTTGCCTTTGTCATCCATACACCAGTGCCTCTCAGGAAATACAACTTCCCTGCCCTTGGTGCCCTTCGTCCTCCTGCTTTGTGCCAGAGGATGTCCTGCCACTGCCATCTCCACCCTTCCCTGACTTTCATTCTGAAACAGTTACTCTCTCCTCAGACCTGCTTCAAGTGCATTTGAAGAAGCCTTTGCTGACATATTTGCTGCAGTACAGCATGAAACATTTTGCCATCCATCCATCTGCCTCATGCTTCTTTTAGGTGTCCTGCAGTCTCTAACCACCCAGCCCTGTTATGTCCCATTACCCCTAGTAAGGATCAGCATGGGTCTGCATGCCCTGGGAAATGCTCACCAAGCCTGGGACCGCTTGTCGAACTCAGAACTCAAGGGGCAAACTCTTTCCTAGTGTCTTCTCTGCCTCTTTTAGACTGATGGGGCTGGGGAGGGAACGATTAGGACTCTCAGGCAATAACTATACACATGGGATCCTGATGGCTGAGAACACCGGTCTTGAGGTTGGGGCAGAAAACAGCAAATGGGAAACTTTTGTCTGGGAAAGCTCTGCAGAGCTAATAGGACTGGGCATCCTGCCTTCTGCTCCAGGCTGGTTCTTTTAGCTCATATCTGCTTAGTTTCAGTGTGATCTGAATAGGTCTGATCCGTCTCATCAGTTAATGGATGTTTGGAAGGAGTTCATCAAGACAGTAATTGAGAAAAGCAGAAAAAAAAAAAACCAAACAAATACACTTATTGTGTATTCATCTGTAAAGCATCTGCCTTTAAAGAGTCATAAAAACAGGCTTACTGGATCAAACCAGGGGATGGTCTGGCCGATGCTTGGAGAAGAGTAGAAAAAACAATGCTAATATGTGTGTTTCTTTCCTCCAGCACTCTCTCTGCCTCCAGCTGTGTTCAACTCGCACTGATCCAGATATGGTTTCTGTGCATTGAATCATTCTCAAGGGTTTTCTCTTCCATGGACTTGCCCTGGAACCTGCACAGACTCTCAGCATCCACAACATCCCATGGCAAGGAATTATCCCGTTCAACTGCAGACTGTATGAAGAACCATTGTCTTCCTTCACTTTAAACCCAGCTCCAGCCAGCTCCACCTATTTCTTTTATTGGAAAAGACAGCAAACAATCAATTCCTGTCCATCCTCTTCAACAGCACTCAGAATTAACACCACGTCATTATCTGTTTATCACTCGTGGCACCTAGAGACCTCTTTGTACGGGGCAGTGTATAAAAATAAGGCTGAGTAATAGTTGTTTTGCTGCAGTGCCTCCAGTCCAAGCAGAGGAGGAAAGCAAAGGGCAGGGGCCGAGTGCATTACACGAGAGCAGCATAAGCAGACCATTCTTGTCACTGGCCACTTTCTAAAGTTACCTTTTTCTTTTGCAGGCAGCCCAGGCAGAAAATATGGTGGTGACTCTCAAGCAATTTTCCTCTTGCTTCTCCTGAAGGAGAAGTGGGTCCGGAGCAGGATGCAGCAGCCAGCGGCTGGTGACAGGAGCCCAGCCATTCCCTTGCTGTACCCGCCCCAGGCCAGCCTTGCTGCTAACGCGTACCATCCGCACCGCATCATTGAGGATCCCGAGTGGTCCCTCGCCACTGTCCCCCACCTCACTGAGCTCTGCCTCCAGCACATCCTTCACAATTTCGAAAGTAAGTGGGAGCGCGTTTCGCCTGGGACACGTGGAGAGAGAGTGTCAGTCTCGGGGAGCAGAGGGTCAAGAAGGCAGGCAGATGCCTCTGAAAGGCAGAGTGTGGTACCCAGCCATGCCAAAAGAACAGATGGGGAGAAACATCTCCTCAGGCAGCTAGTTAAACAAACTGTTTAGTTGCTAGGTATGTACTTGTACACTGCGGGGATGGCTGTAGTCCTCTGGGCTGCTATCCAGGATGTGACTCTGCCCTAACCTTGTCCTGTAGTTTCTTCTTTCTGTGCTCTGCTGGACTCACTCACCTCAACCATGGCCGGGCTGTGGAGTCACCGTTTCCTTCTCTTGATTTACACACATGTTACAGTAGCAATCAAGCATGGAGCCCCGTTGTGCCATGCGGTATGAAGAGATGGAGAATCGCTCCCTGCTCAGAGAAGCTACCATCTCAGAATACATGTTGTACTCACAGTCTCAGGCCTTCTCCACGACTTTTGGTGGTGATGTGACAAGTTTTATCCTCAGGCAGGGAACGTGCTTTTGAAGCAGGTGGACTGATGAAACAGCAAAACAGAAAACACGTCTCACCTGGGAACTGACTGGGAAGGGAAAAGAAAGAGCCTCCATGTGTTTTTGGCTGACTCAGTGGAGTGGCAGCAAAGACCAAAGATAGGTCTAAGGCTATGTCCACACTGGGACTGTAAAATAGTACAGAGGACCTCAGTGCTGCCTTAGGCCAGGAGCTGATGGTACTTGGGAGTCTGAGCTGGGAGACCCTCACAGTCCTGTCAGGCTGGTCAGCTGGTCCGATGCCAAAGAGATTGGACCTACGTTGGGTGCACATAAAAGCAGTGTTCTTGGTGTCTTGGGGACCCTCGTGTCAATACCTGAGCTGTGCAGCTGCATCTTGCCCACTGGTGCTGCCTGAGTGAGCGGGAGTGAAGCTAGCCCAGTTCTGCCTATACACGTCCCACTGCTGGTTGTGCTGTGGGACTTTGCAGAGGTCACTGCAGCACCAGCTGCAGGACACTGGAGAAGAGACTCCAGAAAGAGGCTGTGGTAAAACTCTGGGTGTCCTTAGGAAGGAAATGCCACAGAGACAGAGGAAATATAAAGCTAACTCCGCTTTGTGTCTCAAAATCTGATTTCCCATGTGCAGATAGGCCTCCCCACTGACAATTTTTGTTACTCTTGTGCATGCGCCACCAAGCATTCACAGTGTAAGTACACATGGTTTTTCTCTGGCATCTTTTACCACAAAGAACTTCCACCAGACAGAAGCCAGCTGAGACTCAGGGCAAACATTGGAAAAGAGATGGAGGGGAGAAAGGTCCTGGGAAAAGAGAACTCTTATTTAAACAAGTGTGTCTTAGTGGAAAGGAACAGGAACCAGCTTGGTGTGAGAGAGCCACCTGAGTTAAGATAAAAAGGCACGAGGACTTCCATGAAGAGTACACAGACAGTTGTTCTCAAATATCATCTTTCAATATGCTTTGAAGCCAAAGGGAGAAAGTTCAGCAAATGACCAGCCAAGCTCTCTCATTGCTGTAAGGCTGAATTAGCTTTCCTGGGAGCAGAAGTCTTGCTCTGAATATAAACTGCATTCAAATGAGATTTAAACTGGGAGCTAAGTTTCTGATGTAGTTCCCAAATATTATGGGAGTAAACTCAATTACGCTGATGTTTTATTGTAAAAGTTAGAAATCCTACACAAACATGTAGGAGATGAATATTATGGGAGTAAACTCAATTACACTGATGTTTTATTGTAAAAGTTAGAAATCCTACACAAACATGTAGGAGATGAATCCTACACATTTTCTGCCAGCTTAGCTCCCTGCACCAGCCACTGGCAACTGAGAAGAGAGCTGGTATGAGCAGAGAGGGCTTGGACACACAGTTGGGGGTCTGAGCAGAACCACAGTGCCAGTCGTGATTCCTACAGCCCAGAACAACCTCTCTTTCTCTTCATCCCCTCCAGAGAATCCTATTTTGGACCGTCTTCTGCCTGAGCACCGAAGGAAAGTGCTGGACAGGCTCTCCACTGGCCTTCCGCTCTCTGTGACTGCCAACCTAATAAGCGATGAGGACTACTGGAAGAGGTGCTGCACTGAGCGCTGGCAAGTGTGTGACATCTCCAACTATGGAGACAGCTGGAAACGGATGTTCTTTGAACGTCACCTGGAGAACATCCTGAAATGTTTCATCCCTAACACCACAGACCCCAACCAGGTCCTAGAAGTCATCCCACTTTGCAAAGACTACGTGCGGAAACTGGAGGTTGATCAGTTCCTGCCACCAGTGCAGGTGGATCAAAAAGAGGAGAGGGATGACCTCTCTGATACAGGGAGTGATTTTGGATTCGGTGAGGTCTCCGTGCATCACTATGACCTGGGAGTCCTCATTACTGCTCTCCCTCACCTCGAAGAGCTTCATCTCACTTATGGTGTGAAGGATTGTGGCATGAACTTTGAGTGGAACCTCTTTAACTTCACCCACCAGGACTGCTGCAACCTGGCTGTCGCTGTGAAGATGTGCCACAGCTTGAAAGTAACGTATCCCAAATTGAACCTTCCTTCCTCAGCTGCATCTTCAAATTGCCTGGGGATGGAAACTCAGGGAGCAGTTTTGCTTGCTGGCAGCACTCTTCCTTTTGCAAGTTGCAGTCTGGCAGAGTGCAGAGATGTTAACTTGCTGGCCTAGCGCTGAGTATCTTGTTCTACATATGTTCCTGTTAGAACAGGTTGTCAGAGGGTCGGTGAGAAAACTACTTGCTCCCTCAAAACATATGCCCTGTAGCCCAAGAGAAAGCGTTTAACTCCTTACACAATTCTGGAAGGGAGGAGAGGAGAAGCCCAGGGAGTTTTTCATAAGCAGTGTTTAGTGGTTATGCTCAGTAAATACATCTCAACATGCCCCAGAGCAGCAGAGACCCCCAAGAAGAGCATGGGAAAATACTCACTTTTGCCTTAGAGTGATAATGCTTTTCTTTTCTGGCCAATGATGCAATCTTCAGTTCTGTGGCAACTGCAGTGCAGATGCTCAGCTCCTCCAAAACATCAGCGGGCATTGCTATCCAGAGCACAGCCAGAGCAAACTGGCTGAATGCTCTCCCCACAGATTGGCATGCTTTGGGAGATATTTGTCTGCTTGGCTTCCAGAAGATAAATTACCTCTCCTGTGGCAATTGAGGTGCCCTGGGCACATAGGTCATTGACCTTCACAGAGAGCACTGTGGTTACCACCGGTGTATATGCTCAGGCAGACAGTGTTCAACTGTGATCTGGGGTGAGTTCTGCTGTTACTCTGCAGAGTTTGGGGCAGCTTTATCTCTGTTTAATTTAGCCCTCTGTGTCAGAGATCCCATGGAGTCAGAGGAGAGGAACAGGGGTTTCCAGGAGATGAACCGTTTCTCCCTAGAATAGGCCAGGGACATTAGTGGCATGTCCTACCTGCTGGAAGTACCTACCCACTATAAAAGCAACTACTTCACCCTTCTGGCTAAAGGTGTCTGAAGTGAAAGGAGATGACTCCTGTCTGATGGGCCATGGGTTTAACTCACTGGAGGTCTTGCACAAAGCTCAATTCAAAGCACTGGCCACTTCAGTGTCTCTGTCCTTTATCCTCACAGGTTTTCAAGCTGACACGCAGCAACGTGGATGATGACAAGACCAGGCTGCTGGTCCGTAACTTGCTGGATCATCCCTGCTTGGTGGAGCTGAACTTGTCCCACAATCTCATCAGGGACAAGGGGGCACAAGCTGTTGGCAAATTGATCAACCGCAGCAAATTAGAAATCCTTGATCTCTGCAACAACCAGATCCATCACCTGGGGGCTCAGGCTCTTGCCCAAGCCCTGGCTGAGAGCTCCACTCTGACCTCCCTGAATCTGCGCCTCAACTGCGTGGAGGACAAAGGAGGGGAGGCGATCGGCCGTGCCCTGCTGACCAACACCACCCTGAAGTCCATCCATCTGGGAAGTAATAACCTATCAGAGCCAACCGCTACGCTTTTCTCACAGGTCCTGGCTCAGAACACCACCCTGACGAGTATCAACTTCTCATGCAACCACCTGGGGCTGGTAAGAGAAACCCCTTCTCCCTGCGGTTTGTGAGCCTGCGTGGTGGCCTTGCAAGGCAGATGCTGAGCCTGCCCTGTCTCGCAGCCGCAGAGGCAAATGCATCCCTCATTTTGCAGTCTTGCTGTGATAACCATCAGTTGCGGGTAGGGAAGAGAGTCCAGCAGGCAGCAGGAGGGAGAAGGACATCTTCTGTGCACGCACACATGTTTACCTCACTCATTATATCTAGCTTTGTTCACAGGGCTCTCGATCTGAAACTGGCTTCCAGGCTTTGGGCTTCTGGGCAGAGAGGGATTTTCCCCCCAGGAAACTGAAAACCAGAGAGTATATCTGGGAAAAAATGACAGCCGCTTCACACACGTGGGAGTAGATAATAATGATAGGCGGCATGAGACGAGGGCCTTGTGCATATCCTCTGTGCTTCAGATCTGCTGTGCCATCTGTCACTCAGCAGCACATAGATAGTGTCACCCTTCCCAGAACCTCTCCTGTCCATCAAGCCCTCCAAGGAGACTGTTAGAAAATTGGCTCAGTTGTTGAGGTCCTTTAACTCACCCTGCAGCTCTGGTGCGGTGCAGTAGGTCAAAAGTGTCACATCTGGTTGCTTACAAGTGGCTCCTAAACCACCGGCTTACGTCTTCTAGACAGAGGAGCATCCACAGATCTTACTACATCCCTAAGAGCTGCAGTACACAACATGGCCACAAACCGGATCGCTTCTCTTCTGCTGATTAAAAAGAGCTTTAGAAATCTGAAACTAGACAGCCAAATGCAATCATGCTGGTTTTTAAACTTTCTGCGCTGCCTCAATTTTTTTCACTGTTGCAATGAAGAGACAGCAAGACCAGCTGTCCCTGCTGGCAGGAATATTGACATCAATGTGTTTGACAATGGTTTTAAGAGGATCTGATGGCAGAAAACCTTTTGTGAGTTCTGAGGTTTATTATCCTAGATGTGGAAAACCATTTGAGTGTAATGATACAAGGGGGCAAAGGTTGGAAAGGAGAGAAAAGGATTTCTGCTTAGTAAATAATAATCTCTGTGCTCAGCATCTTCCTTCTAATGAGCTCTCCTGGTACCTGTTTGTGAAGCTCCACAGCAGCCCAACAAGGGGGCTGGGAGTAATATCTTTGGGGAAATGGAGGTCTTTGCTAGAGATGCATCAAATTCTGACCTCTGTACCCCATTAAAAAAGAGATTGAAGAGGCAGGGTGCTGGGATGAGGAGACCACCTGGATGGAGGAGATGGGGGCAGGAGGTGTATCTGGTACCTGAAAGAGAATAGCTGTTGGGGGGAAAAAAATCCAAATTGTCACATCTCTAAAGACAATACTTCAGGTAAGGGAGGGAAATGCCTTAAGTGAGTTGCATCCCTAAGGCTATCTACATTGAATTTTCTGTCCCATTCAGGCTGGATTTCAGTTGCCTGAGATGTTCCCCCCCACACCCCGCCAGGAAAGCCAACCCAGCCTGGGAAATGGCATCCAGGCAGAAGACTGCCAGCACTGGGGCTCTTGCCACTGCCGAGATGAGGAGCAGTGCACTGATCACACTGCCCCTGGTCCCCAGCCAGCAGTGAGCTGGGGACCTGGGGACAGGGGAGGGCAGAGACGCCACTCAGGTTATCATCGCCAGCCGTGTTATTAACGAGTCTGAGCTTGAGGACTCCTGACACGGTACCCAGAGGGAGTCATTAGCATGTGTCGTATCACTGAGTGCCGCATAAGGTTACTCTCCTTCCTTGTGTACTTCTGTGAGCAACATTTCGGGCTGGGGCGAAGGCCTTTGTCACTTTTGGCACCATCCCACGGGCTCCCCACCAGCATCAGCAGGGAAGTGCAGGAGAAGTGACCCTGGGGAGCAGGGAGCTGAGCAATACACTTCACTTCTGGATCTCCTCCTTTAACCCCTTCTTCTCACCCATTTGCAGGATGGTGGGAAGCAGCTGCTTGATGGGCTGGCGGATAACAAGGCTTTGACCGAGTTTGACCTCCGCCTGGCAGAGGTGGGCCAGGAGACCGAGTATCTCATTCACCAAATTGTGTGGGCCAACAGGGAAGCAGCAAGGCTGGGGGCTCGGCAGCACCCCCCTGCCAAACCCCTCTGAAGAAAACGCTCCAGAGAGCAATGAGCTTTGTAGGTACCATGTTGGAGATTCTTTACTTCAGAGGCTTGTTTTTATTTGTATTTTTAAGAAAAATCAACTTGTGGCTACCACTGCGGCCTCTCCCAGATTCCCATCACTCAACCTGTGACTTAATATGAGACAGCCATTAGACCTCATGGGACTGTAGTGGCATCACAGAAGCAATCTGCCTCTTGAGCCCTCTCTCCCACTGCACCTGGGACTAAATCCCTCGTCCTGTGGTGTTTCTTACGTGCTCTGGCAGCGAGCTTAGTTCAGGCAACTGGATGTTCCACCTGTAACGCAGCTGAGGTGAAATCTCCACCATCTAAATGGACTAGTCCAGACCAGGACATCAGGGCTGGCAGCTCTTTTAGGCTTTTTGCTGAGGAGGACGTGAGATGCATAAAGGATAGAGGGAATGTTGTTTCTAGTTCCTTGGCAGCTTTTTCCAGCTATTGCTCTGCTCAAGGATTTATTTGGTTTTATAGCAAGATCTGTCTGGAGTCTCAGTTATGAGTGGTGAAAAGTAAAAAAAATAAATTCAATAAACGATAGGTCTCTCCACCATGGTTTCCTGCTTTGGGTTGCTGTGCCTTTGACTAGTGCTAGCCTGCTTTGCAAATAAGTAAATTCTTTACAACCAGACGCTTACCTTAACTAGTAACTCTACTCTGTGCAGACCTGTCAAAAAAAAAAATCTGTGTTTCACATAACTTCAAGCTAGAGGGGTCCCTGCAGGACCGCTGGCTCACAGCCTGCAGGGTTAAAAATGGAGCTGCTTCCTTGGGCTTGGAGGAAAATAGAGCAGCTTTCCTCTGTCTCACAGGTTGTGGCCACTTGAGGACAGGACAGGGCACGTATGCAATTGCCTCTGTCCTTTGACCACCCTGCTCAGGGCTGACCTCCATCCCCTCCTGTCCTCTGAGCAACGTGGGGGCTTCATGCATCTCCCAGCCCTCCCAGCACCAGTGCTCACAGACCCACCACTGGCAGCCACCTCAGTGAATCATCTGAAACTTTTATTACACCGATTTGGTTTACAATCTTTGTACTTTGATATTTCCAACAAAAAAGGCAACATTGTGATATACTGTTTGTACATATATAGAGAGACAGACAGAGCTAGATCATTATTGACAGAGTTGAGAAGTAAAAACCGTTTCCCAGTGTTCACAAAAGAATTTGTTTGTCACGTACCCGCTTCTGCCTTGCTCTGCCTGATGGATACAGGCGCCCACGGTGCCGCCGGCCCCCGGCCGACAGGACCTTTACCTGTGCCGTGTCACACCCTTACAGAGCAGAAAGGATGGAGTGCGAGGCTGTCCCCAGTAGCGGCGGCCACGCGAGGGGTGCCGACAGGGCTCAGCCCCAACCCTTCGCAGGTCTGTGTAGCTCCTTTCCCAACTATTCACGGATGCTCCAGAGGCTATGTCCACAAGAAATCCTAACCAGCGGCAGCAGCTGTGAAACCTCCCCACCCAGGCATCTCCCACTACTCGTTTCCCATCCTCGAGATCGAGGTATTGAATAGATTTATTTATTTTTATTTGCATTTACAAAATATTTCCACTGAATGACACACCTGAATGAGATGAGAACTCGTGTTCAGAAACAGCAGAAAAGACCCAGATCAGCATCAGGCTGATGAAGGAACAGCTCCAGCAGCAAGGGGGGGAGCAGGGAAGGCTTAATGGGGGTGGCCTGATTCTGGGCAAGCCTGCCTGTAGCTCCAAGTACAGGGCTGTGTCTGGTCAGCCAGTTGTGCAATGAAAGCTCGTGCTGGGAGAGCAGCGATGAGATCCCTCAGACATGCTAGCAGACACATGAGGAGGAATTGGCTGCCAGAGCCAGTGAGGAACAGGAAGGAAAAGGGCTTGGGAAAACGTATCATCACCAGGACAACTGTTGACTTGCTTCCAGGAGACTCATGGCTCCTCTTCCTGCAAATGGCTGGCACTGTTACCACCACCTGAGCCCCCTCCAAACCCACACCTGCGCTGCCACATGCAGGAACGCCCAGACAGGTAGCTGCTGCGTGGAGAACCCTTTGCCTTCCCTCCCATCAATCTCTCGGCCAAAGAGCAAAGCCCAAACCAAGCAGTGTGCAACCGCTCGCCCACACCCAAGACCAACAATCTGTTGATCAAATCTGTTGGTTTGCAAGGGTTGAAACCATTTCAAACGCCATGCACATTGGTAAAAATGAAAGCCCTGACAGCACGAGCAGATTGTCTGAGTGTGAACACTCCTGTTGCTGGTGGGTCACTTGTCAGCTTCAGGTCTGGTTACCACCGTATGAGACTGCCTTGTGGAGCGGTAACTAGCCGGTCAGTCTGTGCTGGAAAGGCGATATGCCAGCACAGGGCCAGCACAGACCCCCTGGCTCTCCAGTGAGATCCATCCTCAAGGAGTACTGCGGGGCTTTCAGGAGAGGGGGCTCAGCTGTGGATCTCCATCTGGAGGAGTGAACGACCTCCAGCACCTTGCCTAGGAGCTGGTCTTCCCTCCCATCACCATCCACAGACTCAGTGTGAATGTCACTCGGCAGCAGAGGGACCTCAGCCAAGCTGGGAGCATCCCCTCGCCCGAGAGATGGGGGGAGACGGGGCATGGCCGGGAAGTAAAAGAGGGGGAACGACACGAGGTCTTGCAGGTGGACTACGCCAGCGGGTGCCCCACGGGGCTGGAGCAGGGCCGCCCGGCTGGCTTCCTTCCGCAGCAGATGGCAAGCCCTGCTTCCGCTGCTCTGAGCACAGCGCGTGCAGTGGCGGG